CTTGGGGGGGGGGGTTGGGGGAGCAAGGGTCCAGGGCCGATAAGTTTGCAGATAAAGACTAGGAAAGAAACTGGAAATGGAACACTTGATGCTGCAGCAGCTTACGGAGTGTCAAGCACCAGCCCACAATTCAACAGTGGTTTTCATGTCTTACAACAGTGACACACTTTGCGTGTCACGCAGACAATACGAATACACTATAGTGAGAACTGTGCCATTTCAGTTACAGTAGTGTTGTGTGGCGCCTTCGGTGCTCGAGGGCGGAGCGGATCTTTACTTCGGTCTGAAGTTTTGATGACTCCATTATCTGTGAATTGGCAGGTTAAAAGTTTAAAAGCATCTCAGATTCTGTTTGATGAGAACTGAAATGAAACCGTCGAGGAGTTCAGGTTACTCGAACCCAGAAAAAAACAAAACAAACAGAAGCACCGTTTAATCCAATTCCAAAAGTATTTGTTTGTCTTTGTGTGTTTCTGTTGCCAGAGAGATGTACAAACCGCTGGATGATCATGCAATTGCCGTCAGGGATGAAGAGCAATATTCATTTGATGAGTTTAAACAAGTCTATAATAGAAAATGATCTCACAGACTTGAAATCAACTAATTTTGGACTTTTCTATTGACAATACGACAATTTATAAAGCATTAAATTCCAGTTACATCTGATTCTTATTTGAACGTATTGTGGTCGCACATGAAAGCAGGGGCCGATATGGTTGTTCTGTGATGCAGAAAATTGAGACAGAAGTGATTTTGCGTGAGCACCAGCACAAACGCATTAAACACATTTACAGAATTTACAGACAAACAGAAGCCAAATAGCTTTTTTGTTGTTGTTTTCTTTCCTTCTTCCTTTTGATAAAAGGTGCTCGAGTGAGTGAGCGAGTGCAAGCGTATGTGTTTGAGTGTATTAGCTCAGTGATGCTGGAAAAATCTCCTCCAGACTTTATGGACTTCAACCGGAGGTGGACACCTACACAGACACTGTACATAAATCACATGCATTTATTTATGTGTGGACATTGTGGACGACCTCCGCTCATTTGTTCGGACCATGCTGATTCCCGCTGGATTTGGAAGAACTCCAAACCAGCTTTGGCTGGTTCGTTCCAGTTTGAACCAGTTCCACTTATAGCTGCTTGCTACTTGACTTTTTTCAGTGGTGATCAGCAAGACCAAATGGAAATTGAGGGGTCTGGTGGTTATAATCCGTTTCTACGGCAACAGTTATTCATCTATACACACACCTAAAGGCACTAGAGTCCAGCAGGAAATCAGAACAACACACAAAAAGAAATAACAGCAATTACTGGCGACACTTTTGCCAAGAGTAATACAAGCAAACAAATGCTTCGGGGCAGGTAGTTATTGCATTCTTGCGAGCTTTTCAAGGGATAAACGGCAGCGTATGCATCAATCATTTTACAAGGTTCAAAATTAAGATTCTAACTCTTTTAGACTAGCACCTTATCACGATGGCAATGACATCATATCACGGCTCATGATGATGATAGCAGCAACCAGCGCCGCTTTTCGCCCTAGAGACAAGCAAATACTGCTTAAACTAGTAATGGCATGTGGTTTAGGAGAAATTATGTGTGGTAGAAGTTTTCTAACGTAGAGTCATAATGGACACCTTATCTCACACCTACAGGCTGTCTTTAACATATTGATTAAGCCATTTATTGCATCATTCCGCTTTTGCTCTGAAAAATCATTTCAATTTATGTGGAACATTACGTCTGCTTTATATTCCATTACTATGGCTGCTGTGGTTTCACTGATCTAGAGCAACTTCAGAACAAATGAACACTAATTTGAATGCTCAGAATGATACTTTACAGACTTGAATCTACATTTAATTTGTTTCATGTTGTCATAAGGCGTTGGGTTGAGAATAAGTAGGTTTTTGTGCTTTTGGGTTTTTCAGGAGTTTGTTTTTCTGATGGAATAATGTAATATTTCAGAAGAGTCAATCAGGCAAAGTGTCACTCTTCAAATGTTGCACATACAAAACTTGGACACGAGAATTGTGCGTGTGTGTGCGTGTGTTAGAGACTGCAGTTGTTAGAACTTGACGTTTGTCTTAAAGCTAGCCTAAATAACCTTTCAGTGTGTGTGTGTGTGTGTGTGTGTGTGTGTGTGTTTGTGTGTGTGAGTATGAAAGAATGAGATCAAAAGGTAATAAAGATAAAGGACGGTGTGAATGTGTGTGTTTATGCAAGTTGTTTTCCATTGTTTAGTCTAGGCATTTTCTGTGTGAGTGGGTGCGAGTCAAAGAAACTATTGTTTTGGAGGAAACAAAAGCATTTATTAGTGTTGGAAACAACCGAATACAATCATGTTTACCTTCAACTGTAATGAATGTAAAGAACTTGAAAAAAAGAAACTGTAAACTGAACAAACCATAACAAAGCTTATAATAATAATCATCATGATACAAACACATTAAGCCTTTGATTCATATTTGCTACAGACACAACAACATTTTTTATGAACTCATATGTTTGGGTATTGAAATGTCCTTCGGAATTTGATCACTGTCAGTGGAAACCGAAGGACTAATCTAATAAGAGTACACAAACATCATCTCCCCCTCACTCTGACTTCCCATCTCCTCATAAAATGTAGTTTCAGGTTTCCCACTGCTGTCATCAAAAACAAGCCATTCTTTACCAATCTCGCAATCTCTTGTATTTTGTGCACTCCATCATCTCTTTCAAATCTATTATCATAGTGTCAGTTATCTCTGCAGAGTGTGTAAGAAGCAAGCAGCACATAGATGAAAGGATCTCTAGCAGAGGCTGACCTGATGCTGAAACCATCTTATCTAATCACTGCTACATGAAGATATTTCTACATATCAAACAACACTGTTGGGCACGAGATGTCACTTTAAAACTGATACCCATCCAAGTAATTTTTAGATTCTTTTGTCTGCCGGTGCTAACTGTGAGCAAGATTACTTATACCTCTACTATAGACTTGAAACAGAATTTCAATAATTAAAGTTTTTTACGTTTTTTTTTTTTTCAGCCCTAAAAATACATTTTATGAAAATCCTTTTTTCTCTCTCAAATTTTATGCTGACCCCCTACCACTCTCTTGTTGGGTCCATTGGGGGTCCCCGGACTCCAATTTGAAAACCTCTGTCCTAAATAAATGTTTTTCGACCTGGTATGTGGACGCCTATGCTTCGTGGTGTAATTGCAATGGGTGAATAAATTTTTATTTTTTTTTAAAGAAGAGGAAGAGTAGGCAGTAACATACATACATATGTCATATATAGGCATTTGCATTTTAATAACTTGTATTTATTTTGTAAATGTAAGAACTGACGATATGGCAAAAGATCAGCGCAGTGCAGTGTTGCCAACTTAGCGACTTTTTCAACGCGCGCTATTAATAAACAGAAGGTCGTGGTCGGTTGGTGTTGGATGCTAATCTGTCGCTATAATTATCCATATAGTTAGCGATTCTGATGTGAAGGAGCATTAACTCTAATAGTTACTGAGGAGAACGAGGCAGAACAGATGTTGCTGGATTGAACTACAATCGTTTGATTGTTTTTTTTTTTTTCATCTTATTAGAGTGGCGTTTAATTCAGCGCGACATGTCGAGACAAAACTCGTACATGACTGACGTTCCGTTAATTACTCTGAGGCTCGGCGCGTGAGTAAACCGTCTGAACACACTGCAACAATAACGGCGATTGATCCCCCCAGACACCCTCTGCTTTCTGCTACCGGTCACACAGAGCAGACGCTGACCTCACCTGCTGCGGGAAAAGGACAAAGACGCCTCGATAAATCAAATGATGGAGCTAATGAGTAAAATCTTCCATGTTAAACAAAGCAGAGCAGTATAATGGTGTAGACAGACCCACATCTGAACATCTGTATGTGGTGTGATTGTTAGTTTATGTAGGAAAACCTCAGTAACAACCATGCAATAGCTACAAAGTTTCCTCTAAATGACCAGTTATTTGGAGGAAGTAAAAAGGAGTCTGTTAGCATTTCATCTCTATGGGGGTTAATCACTGGTGCAGGATCTGGAGGTAGGCCTAACCATCTTTGCTTAGGCTATATGGCTGTTTTGGTAAATAAGATAAATAATTCTACTGACCATTTTAGATTTGATAATGTAATGTGATCAGGCTTTTAAAGAGATAGGCTAATTCATCCCTAAATGAAAAATGTCATCATTTACTCACACTCATGTTGTCCCAAACATGTATGACTTTCTTCTGTAAACAACAAATAACTTATTTTGAAGAATGTTTCTGTCCATACACTGAGACTCAAAGGGTTCCAATGTCTTATTTGTTCCATAGACGACAGAAAGACGTAGCCTACAGGTTTGGAACAGCATGAGGGTGAGTAAATGATGACAGGAATTTAATTTTAATAAATTATTTTAAAACATTTCAGGGTTCCTACGCAGTTTGGAAAAGAATGGAAAAAAGAAAGCAGAGTATGGACAAATATTTGCAATTCCAGACTTTTGCCCCTATTTAGTTTTCTATAACAGAACATTATAAATTTAATGAGAATAAATGTATCATACAAGAAGTGTGTTTTTATGGCAGCTGTTAAGTGATTCTTTAGTGATCGTCAAATACAACTGAATGAATTCAAGATGCACTTCTTCATTATGCAAAAATGCAGGTTATATTGCAGGTTTTTCTCAGGATTTACTTAGCACCATATTACAGAGCCTCTAAAAGGACCTTTGCAAAAATGAAAAATATACAGACTTTCGTGTGTGTACAAGAAACCATTAAACTTAGCATATAGGACAGTGCACACTGATCCA